AGACGGAAAGTTTATAACCAATGAGCAGAGGGAGCTTCCATAAACCAGAACCCATTTTCCTCTACAGAACACACGAAGAAAAGATTTTCCAGGCATCCTACATAACTTACTTAAGAAGGCAAACTTTTCAAAGGCAACGTTGTTGTGTGTTTTGGTTACACACAGGTAGATGCTGCTAATCACAGATGTGTGTTCTGTGCTTGTTAAAGAAATCTGGGCAGGACTGGATGCACTTGGCAAGGGTACATGATCACACAGTGTACCGGGTGGGGGTAGGGAGGACGGGTCCTGCCATAAAACTTTTCTCACCTAGAGAGGTGACCCCTAGGGTAGCAGGGGAGCTCCGCGTTACTTAACCACTCCTTTGTTTCTTTTTCCCTTTTTTGCTATATGAAGTTAAATCATCAGAAAATAACATATTTTAAAATATCGACCCAGCACTCCCACAGAAATGCCCGAATTGGGAAATAAAGGTGTGCCCTCTCTTTTCATGGGGGCTGGATAGAATAAATACACTTGGAAAATGCTTCTGCTTTTTTTTTTTTTTTTGCAAACCCAAAGTTCACTGTGCAATGCACCATGTGCAATGGCTTTTTTCTCCCTTACTTTATTTTAGCCACGACTGTCATATAAGTATCTAGAGGATAAATTCCCCTTGAAACTGTCTCCCGTGTGGATAAACATGCTGCTTCTATCCACCCACCAATGAAATGAGTTCCCTTTTGGGTGTCAGAACCTTGGGGTGAATGTTTGCCTCTCTCCCTAAGTCCAAAGACTCTCCACCTCCATTTTAGCTGCGTCGTTTACATGTGTTCAATGTTATAATAAATCCATTCTGGATGTGGGTGGGGCATACTCTATAAATAAATCCTGAACTGAGGCATCCTCACTCCAGTGCCCCTAACAGCGGCCATCAGCCTCCGCCCAAGCCCTGGGCAGATTCCTGCCTCAATGCCAGCCACTCGGCTCCCTCCCTCCACGGGGAGATCTGCTGGCCACCCGGAGCTGCCCCCTCCCCCAGGCTCCCGGCTCTCCCAATTCAGGATCAACAGCCATCACTTTTGGCCCAATTAGTGGACGCCAGGCATTGCCTTGTGGAGAAGAGGGGATTTGGACCCAAGGATTCTGACGTCCACATCTACCTGCTTAACTTCTGTACCAGAATGGCTTTCCCATGAGCACCCTTCAGAATCTGGAGACACTACCCTGTTCCCCATAGCCTTCCCTAGAAGGGACGGCGAGTAGGGTCTAAGTGCTCTGTGGCCAATGCACACGTACCAGCTGCCAGGCCAGCTCCCCTGTGGCAGCCCCCACGACGGATGACTGAGCAGACACAGCTCTGCAGCCTCTTATTTTTAAAATCCCATGCACAATCCATAAATTCGTATGTTGCAAAATTTCAAACACTCTGTCCTTTTGTTCTCAATGTAATGCCTTTTTAGCTTTTATGAGTAGATCAAAAGACAGGTGGCTGGACGTAACGGTCAACTTCAGCATGGTAGTGCGATATATTTTGGTTTACTCATTTTCTTCCAAAGCTAATTATTAAGGCTAAATAAATAAACAGCAACAATGTAGACAAAACCAATTGTGCTAATGGTTCCCAATGTAGACAAAACCAATTGTGCTAATGGTTCCCAAATGTTTATTTAATAAACAGACATAGTCCATTTGGACGGATTGACCCCCCGGAAGTTAACCATGCACTGTCTCCCTGGCCCCTTGCTGGTTGACAATGGTCTACCTGTCACCCATCTATTTATGTAGACAAGTGAATGCTTTCTGCATATCCACTTAGGGACCAGGCAAAAATACAAGCTGAGTAAGAAGGTAATAATAGCTTCCTCCCTCCAAAGACTGAAAGGACAGTGGCTGCAAGGCAAAGGAGGAGAAGCTGTTTCCCCAGGGTGGGCCGGGGGGCCTGATTCTGCCCCTCGTCTCTCCACCTGGAACAGACTCAGAAGACAGGCCGGGCACCCCTGGCCAGCTCTGAACCACCTGGAGATGCCCCTCTGGAAACATCCCTCTTAATAACTGACTCCACGGATCTGGCTTGGTGGTCACGCCCAGTTCTGCCGGTCCAGGGGAGCACTGGGTCTCAGCCTTGGGGAGTAGCGGAGTAACGCGACAGGATCTGTACGGCCCTCTCGGGTACGGACGGAGTGGGCACCAGCGTGGAGGAGCTTGTCAGCGACCCGCACGTTCACCAACTTCCACCCGCACCTGCACCCCCACCGAGCCTCCCCTCAGAAGCTGCGGTGGAGAGGGGTCAGCTGGAGGAAGGCCCTCCGGGAATCTCAGCGAGGCTGTTCCTGGCCCCAGAGGCACTCTGGCAGGACCCCGCATCTCTTGGCGGGCTGAACTCCGCCAGCTCCCTGCCACCCGCGCAACGTCCCAGGAGCCGGCTGGACTCGGGAGGGAGACCCTACGTCACTCTCTCTCACAGCGCCTGCACGCTTGCTCCCTCCTCGCAACCTCCAGCTTCGGAGCCCGTGTGCCCCCCGCCCTGCGCTCCGGCCCCGGCAGGCCGCGCCACGCCTAGGCCCCCGCGCGCAGGCTTGCCGCGCTTCCTACCTGGTGCGGTCGGAGCCGGGGGCATCGACGCCGGAGCCGGCCGGGCGGTGGCCCCGTAGTGGGTGCACGGCGAGCGAGGGCTGCCCAGGAGGGTTATATGGGCGCGGGGAGGGGAGGCGCCGCGGGCAGGGGCGGCCGCGGGCGTTAGCGCCTTGGGCCGCCGGCCGGGCGGGAAGGCAGCGCGGGCCGCTCACCGCGGCGGGAGGAGCGCGGGCGGCGGGGCCGGGCGGAGGCCGAGGTGGCCGCCGGCGCCCCGCCCCCCCAGCTGGCCGAGTGCGAGTCGGGGTCCTGGGCGCGCTCTGCCCCGCCTCCTTCCCGCCGCCTTTTGGCGCGCGTTGCCCCCGCGGAGCCTGCTGAGCCGCCTACCCCGGGCTGGACGCGGGGCGGGCCCCGGGGCTCTCCCGCCGACGAGATGGGGACCGCTACCCTCGGCCAGCGTGGGGGCGCGGGCTAGGGCGCGCGGGAGCGAGGGCGGGCAGAGAAGCCGACTCCGCGTCCCGACGCCTTGCTTTCCCCTAGACGCCGCATTTTCCCGACACCCGGGGCTGTGCTCCCGCCCGCACCGGCTCTGGGTCCCTCCGTGCGCGGGGCGCTCAGACTCCAAGGAGCAGGGGAAGGGCCATCCTGGTCCGCAGAGTATCCGCCCTAGCTGCTGGGAACTGGGGTGAGGGTCGTGGCCACAGGGCCGGGGGTGGGGGGGGATTGGGTGGGGCCGTTTGAGCCCGGGTGTCTCCGGTGGGACCCGGAGGAGGGCGCGACGTCTACACTGTCACCGAGCCGAGGTCGTGGCCCCGCCCGGCATTGCAGATCGGCGGGGACCCTCTGGGAGAACTCTCTGGCCCCAGCCCACGATCTTCCTGGGCGGAGGTTGTGTCCCTTGGACGCTAAGGAGTAACTGGTGACGCAAACACTCTCAGGTCACGGCCCGCACTCTGCTCCCTCCCCTGGCCATCGCCAGCTGGCCCCGGGCGCCGGTTTCTGTTTTGCGTTCGCGCAGGTACGCGTGGGTGTCCACGGCGACACGTGGGGATTATGCACTTGGAATTGCTCTCTACGCGCAGAGACCCGCCTCAGGCCGAGTCTTCCCTCGGACCTGTGACATTTACTGCTCCAGGGGCCGGGACCCATGCAGGGCGGGGCTTCGGCCACAGAACCGACGCGCATGTCACTTTCGGAGAGACTCTCTGCTGCAGGCACCTGCTGTGCACCGCGTTCTGGTGCTCATGGGACCCGTTATCTGCCTCCGAACTGGCTGTCCCCGGGCTTGCGTGACCCTCGCGCCAGTGTCGCCTGTGGAACTGCATGCGAGACGGGCTGGTGCAGACCGGGTACTCCGGCCGCAAGGGTCCGCATCTCACCCAGCGCGCCTGGCTCACTTCTGCACACCTTTACTGCTCACCTCCGGGTTTCGAGGCGCGGGGGTTGGGGACACAAGGACGAATCACATACACGGATTGATTTGGCCCGGGACAGAAAAGCCTGGCACCGCCTACACGGACGCGTACACGCACCCCTACCGGTTTGTTCCAGGAAGTTGGGGGACGTCCGCAGGGAGCAGGCCCGGGACTGTGCGCATTGAGGTGTGCGGAGGAGCCAGGCTCGGTCTGGGTTCCCAGAGGGAGGATCGAACGCGAGTGTCTGGGTCCGCGCGCCCCAGTAGGCTGCGGAGGCTCTGGCAGGGCCTGGCCAGGGCTGGGGGGGAGACTTCTTCTGGGAAAGAGGACCAGGGGTTCCCGGAGGGCGAAAGGACAAGGCACTCGCAGGGGAGCGAGCAAGGTGCGCGACGCTGACCGAGGTTCCCGGCCCAGCTCGGGCCTCTGCGCGGGTCCAAATGCAGACGGCGCGCGTGAGAATTACCAGAGGTGCGCTCGACCTACGGCCCTGCGGAGTCAGCGTCCAAATCATTCTCCCCAGACGTGGGTGGTACCGAGGTGAGGCGAGGGCCTCGCTATAGGCGGGGTTGCCCAATGCAGCTTAAAAAAACAAAAAACAAACAAAAAATAAAACAAAGAAAAACGAATGCGCACTTACACACCATGTATAAAATATATGTATATGCACTATTACGTATTCACGTACAAACGCATATTTATGTGTAAATGCACTTACATATAAGCGTATTTACCTATAAGTATAAATATACATATAAATGTAAATGCAGTCACACGGGACGTCCATGTACATTTGAAATTCAGATAAGGGGGTACTTTTTTAGTATAGGTATGTCCCATGCAGTTTTGGGAACATTTATCCACAAAAATGATTCGTTTTTTGTCTGAAATTCAATTTGAGCGCGCGCGCTGCGTTTTTCTGGCAACCCCAGCGGGAGGTGACCGCCTGGGCGGGAAGGAGCGTGGTGGCGCGGGACCGCGCGAACCACAAGCCCCACAATGCCGCGCGGGCACCCGGGGCCCTGATAGGCTGCGCCATGCTTCCGTCCTCCGTCACTTCCGGCCGCGCAGGTAGCGGTTGCGGCAGTCCTGGCTGCCCTGAGGTTCGCTGGGCCTGGGTTCGGCGGCCGCCATGAACTTCTCTGAGGTGTTCAAGCTTTCCAGCCTGCTCTGCAAGTTCTCCCCGGACGGCAAATACCTGGTGAGCGGCCTCGGGGCTCCTGGAGAAGCAGCTCGGGGGCCCGCGGGTACGGGCCTCAACGCGGGGACCCGGGTGGATGCCTGGAACAGGTGGATGCCCAGGGCAGGGAACCCGGGCAGTGGTCCCGGGAGGATGCCCGGAGCAGGGGCCCTGGGGCAGGGGACCCGGGCTGTGGTCTTGGGCAGTGGTCCCGGGAGGTTGCCCGGAGCAGGAGCCCTGGGGCAGGGAATCCGGGCAGTGGTCTTGGGCAGTGGTCCTCAGAGGATGCCTGGAGCAGGGGCCCAGGGTCAGGGGACCCGGGCTGTGGTCCTGGGAGCAGGGGCCCTGGGGCAGGGGAACCGGGCAGATATACCGAGCCGGGGCTCCGGGTAGGTGACCTGGGTGGATACTAGAGCAGGGACTTGGGGCAGGGGACTTAGGCAGTGGCCCTGGGGCAGGGGAACTGGGCAGATATCCCATACCGGGGCTTGGTGCAGGTGACCTGGGTGGATATCTGGAGCAGGGGCTCAGGGCAGAGGACTTGGGCAGATGCTCCAAGCCCCAGGAACCAGACTTGGGCAGGTACCAGCCTCCTTGCACCTCAGTTTCCATCTGTCAGAAGCAGATAATGGCAATGCTGTCTTCACACATTTGAGGATACGAGGGTCTCAGCTCATTGTTACTGTGACACATAAAGGCTATATTATATGATTCTGTTGGCTGTAATCTAGTGCACTAGTGTGGCTACTTTGTCTTCACCTGCCTCTACCATGTGCCAAATAAGTGATTGAAATGATAGCAGTCTGTGCCCAGATCAATGGAGTTGTCTGCACTGCTATTTATTTGAGCTGTTAGGACTTGAGCTGTTCACTACTGGGGCGACAGAATGGTGCTAAAATCACTGAGCTACTCTGTACGGGAAATGTAAGTTTTGAAATAGACCAATATCATCAATGTATATCCTCAGAATCTGGGGTGGGGAGGCAGTAGGGGGGAGATAATTGGCATTGGAACTCCATTAAGAAAAAAATCATGCCTTATAAAAATGTACTTAGTTCAGTGTATGAACTGACTGATGCTTCATGATTCTTTCTCAGATTGAGCCTTACTAACATCCCTGTTATTTGTCCAGCTCTTTGAGAATATAACTCCTTTATAGAAGTATTATTCTAAATCACATAAATTAGCATTCAGCTACAAAATACATAATGTCTTCTGCTTAGAAATACACCCCAGAAACCTTGGTATATTTTTCAAAGTGCTCCCCATAAATTAAGTTCTTAAAAAATCATTTATGAGGGACGCCTGGGTGGCTCAGTCGTTAAGGGTCTGCCTTCGGCTCAGGTCATGATCCCAGGGTCCTGGGATCGAGCCCCGCATCGGGCTCCCTGCTCCGTGGGAAGCCTGCTTCTCCCTCTCCCACTCCCCCTGCTTGTGTTCCCTCTCTCGCTGTGTCTCTCTCTGTCAAATAAATAAATAAAATCTTTAAAAAAATAAAATAAAAATAAAACCATTTATGAAAATCCCAGTAAATTATGGAAAGAAAGACTGTATTACTTTGCTTTTTTTTTTGTTGCTCTTTTGGCTTCTAGACTCTGGTGAAAATATGCAAGACACTTGATTATAATGTTACTGGAATCATGTTCTTCAAAGGTCTATCCTAAATCCTGAAGAAAGTAGGTCTGTGTTGCCATTTTTAATATCTTGCAACAGATCTGACATGGTTTCACAAGTATTGATTCATATATTCCATTTCATAAGGAGTTCATTGTAACTGATCACAGAGCTACAGTGTGACCCGTGTTCTAATCCACAATTGCCCTCCCCTCTCCCTTTGACAAGGAAAACTCATGAGGCCTTTTTAAGATGAAAGTTCGTAGAACACAAACCAATGATCTAGTTTGATCTTGATAGGGACAAGAAGGAAGCAATTCACATTAAAAATCAGCTCTTGATTTTAAAAATTATAATCTGTAGTCAGTAGATAAGCATACTCAAATTATTTGCTTAGATACGGGTATTAACGACAACCATGGCCATAAACTGTCTTCAGGAAAACAGTATTGACACTTACACATGTTCCTAGGCAGTATTCAGAATAAGGCAGTCCAGTTGTAAGAAGAATATCCCTGCTTTTCCTGCCTGTGCTGGGAAAGCGGGGTCCCCCCCCCTCCTCTGAGCCTCCAGGATGCCAGCTGGGTGTCTTACAGCTCAAGTCCCTTCTGGCACGATCTGCCTGGAGACCAACAGGTGGACAGTAACCACCCCGCATCAGATGCCAGCCACAGTAGCAGGCCTTCAGCTTATCCACAGACTCACCGGGCTACAGGTTCCCACATTCCCCCCTCAGGTTGGGTTCATCTGCGGCTCACAGAACTCAGGGAAACACTGGCTTACGTTTGCCAGTGTGCCAAAGCCTATGATAAAGGACACAGGTGACCAGCCAGATGATGGAGAAATACACAGGACAAGGTGTGAGAGGGTCTGGGGTGCAGGAGCCTCTGTCCGCATGGGGGT